GAGGGGATGCTGGGCCAAGATGAAAGGGATACAGGTCAGCCTGGCGTGGCTAATGGTGGAAGTGGGGTGATGGGAACATGGGGGTTCACTACACGATTCTCTCTACTTTGGGTTTAGGTTTGAAATTTTCCAACTTAAAAAAAAAAAATTCTGGGGCTGGGGATGTGGATCAAGCGGTAGCGTGCTCACCTGGCATGCACGAGGTGCTGGGTTCGATCCTCAGCACCACATACAAATAAAATAAAGATGTTGTGTCCACTGAAAACTGAAAAATAAATATTTAAAAAAAAAAAAAAAAAAAAAAAAATTCTGCCCTTGGCCAGGTGCATTGGTAATTCCTGCTACTCAGGAGCCAGAGACAAGCTCAGGCCAGCCTGGGCAATTTAGAAAGACCCTGTCTCAAAAAAAAAAAAAAAAAAAGGATGAAGGTATAGTTCAGTGGTAGAGCCCTCCTGGGTTCAATCCCCAGTACAGGAAAGGAAAGAAAGAAAGAAAGAAATTTCACCCTCATGCAGTTTATGATCTCTTTAAAATAGAAGACAGGAGGCAAGGGCCAAGTGCATAGTTGAGTGGCAGAGCAGTGCTGGTTGCAAGGTGCTTGTGCCCAGTTTTCTTTTCTTTTCCACTGCCTGCTCTGTCTTCCATCCAGAACTTCAGCATCAGCTCTCTGTGGGAAGCTTCATGGCAGAGATCTCGCCTTCATCTCTGTACCCAAATCTTCTTTGTCTAGGGACCAGCTTTTTACATTGCTCTCCCCCCCTCCCCCGCCTCCCCACACTCCAAAACAAGAAAAAGAAGAAGACTAGGTTCTCACCCACAGGCTCAGCCCTGCAGCCTGCAACCAGGACCAGTTCTGAGTAGGTGCTCTCACTAGTTCCTGCTAGACTAGTGACTAAGAAGTAGAATTGATTGATGGAAAGCTTGAAAAATACAAATACCCAGGTCCTACCCAGACATAATGAATGGGGCCTGGGGTGGGAGAGAGAGGAATACATCATTCTGAAGGTTCCACTAGGGCTCTGTCACTTTGGAAGGCGTGGAAATTCCTATCCAGGCTCCAACTCAGTACCAGTACCGAATTGCTGGGCAGCTGCCTGAGCTGGAAGAATGTTTTGGCTCTAGAAATTTGATTTGGCCTCCTCTCTGGCCTTACTCTGCCCTTTTGGTGCCTGGAAATGGCAGTTTTCCTTAACAGCCCTTGGTGGCTCATTAATTTTCTGTTTCTTAACAGTTTTGTCCCAGTGGGCAGCTCTGTTCTTGATTGCAGCCCCTACCTGGCTGCCCTTTCCTGAGATAGGTAGCTACTCATTCATCTCAAGTTAAAATACTGGTGCAATATCTCTCTCGGGCTCTCCTGTAGGTTTCTCACATGCCACATAAATCTACTGGGCTCTCTTCTCTCAATCAGTTTGCTCTTCTAGCTTCTATATTTCATTCTGGTTTTTGAACTGTATAGATCAGTGGTAGAGCTCTCCTGGGTTTAACCCACGAGAGCCCCAGACTTCAAGGATGTGGAAAATAAATCCAAGGACATTCCCCCTAAGCTTTTGCCATTTAAAATCCCAGGCCTCAGCCAGAGCAAAGGAGCACAGAAGGAACTTGCACAGCAACTGGCACCTGACACTCTATCCTAATGGGTCACCTGACCCCAATACAAAAAGCCACAGGAAATTCCCTATTGACATTCCTGTCCCAACCAAATGGGTCAGCAGGAGCCTGATACAATGGATGCCAAGAATTGCCCTCCTGTCCCACCCTAAACAAAGCCTATATAACCCATGGCCTTGCTTCAGCCTGCTGCCATTTTCTGCCCTGAAAATGAGCCACACCAGGGTTCCACCAATTGACTCTGCCACTAAATGCTGAATAAAGCACAGCCTGCTGATCTGAGGTTTGCTTCCCATCGTCATGTGTGCCCATGTGTGCATTGTTTGTCCTTAAAAAGCTCCTTTTTCAATCAATCAACAAATCTATTCAGAAATTTACCCTGATGTCATCACTCCAGGCCCTTGTCTCTGTCCTGGCTCAACCTTCTTTATCTCACCTGGAACAACAAGAGCCTTAAAGGTGAAAGTCACATCTTCAGTTTCTCCTGGCCTCCCTTTCTTACCCCACCCCCTCCCTTTACGTGTAAATACTTCCTAGACACCAGGGTCCCCAGGTGAAAAACTGTTTACAGCTTTCTTTTCCTACTGAACACAGCTCACACATCTTAAGCTTCAATGATTTGGCTCAAACCCACCCTATTGGGCTGACATCCACCCAAACATTTTTTTATGCTCCCTACTCCGAAACAAGTATACTCACAGAGTCTTCAAAAGCACTTCCATTCCTGTTCTCTGAGCTCTGCCCTTGCTATTGCTTGCATCTACACTTCCACCACGTTACTACTCATATATTGAATGGTGGGGGAATAGGGGCATAAACCCAGGGTTGTTCTACCACTGAGATCTACCTCCCACCCTTTTGTTATTTTGAGGCAGGGTCCTGCTAAGTCGCTGAGGCTGGCTTTGAACTTGTGATCCTCCTGTCTCAGCCTCCCAAGTCTCTGGGATTACCTGATGTATTGAAATTTTACTCATCTGATGACCCAACTCCAAAGTCACCTTCTCCATGAAGACTCCATATATGACCAGCCAAATGTGACCCCGTGCTCCCGACCCCCAAGACAAGTGTACTTTTTCTTATAACATGTGTTCTATACTCTTCTTACTGAGATTATTTGATTATCTTCCACAGTCCCCTTACTATACCATAAATTTCTTAAGAGAATCTTTCTTTGCTCTTCCTTACATTCTCCACTATGTCAAACCTAATGCTTTGAACAAAGAAATTGCTCAAAAACTATTAACTGTTAGCAGATAGAGTAAATGAGTTAACGAACAACAGATGATATTGGAGTTAGGCAGGCTGGTATGCAGGTGATTTATCTGCTACAGTCATATTCATTATTAAATATTCAAATGTTTCCATTATGGCTTGTAAGTTCAAGTAGCTATTGCCCTTGGCCCCCAGCTGCCCCCAATTGCCCCTGGATCCCTTGCATGAAACTCCCTCTTAATAGATGATGCCAACACAGCCCAGGTCTCCAGAACCAACTGCCACCTCTGCAGTAATATTGAATATCATCCACAGAGAGAAGCAGTCCTAGGAAATAACTGGAATCACATATTTGATTCCAGCACACCTTAGAAGAGGAGTGTTTCAGTGGAATAGAGGACATAGTGCAGATATTTGTGTGGTGACTAGTGAAGTGTGGGTAGTTACTGCTACTAACAGTGAAAATATTAATAACCAGCATCTGACAATATACTTCAATAATCAAATTAATTTTCACAGGAACTCTTTCAAAAGTGGTTTGTTATTGGCTAGTTTTACAAGTGAAGAAGGAAACTGAGATCCAAATAGACAGTAATGAGCCCAATATCCTTCAGAAGAACATAAGCCACTGAGTCCACTGGAGTTCCTCATGACTTCATGCTGCACCAGTGTCAGACAGCAATGAAAATGTGCCCCTCAAAGGAAAGAGAGGAAGGAAGGAAGAGTGTAGGAAGGGATGGCACAGAAAGAGATGGAGACAGAAAGGGAAATAAGGGAAGGAAGGGGGAAGAAGAGGAGAGAGAGAGATAGATATCAGGTAATGCAGTGAGGGAGGGAATGAGGAAGGAAGGAGAAAGGAAATTAAAGGGAACAGAAGAAAGAAGGAAGGAAGGAAAAGAAGGAAGGAGGAGAGGAAAAAACAAACAAGTAGTAAGCAGGGACCTTTTGAGGCCCTCACAAATCTTTTGAGGCCCCACACCACATCTTATTAAGCACATTAAAATACACCCTTTACTGGAAAATCTTACAATACTTTTTATCATTTTAATTTTGAAATTTGGTCTAAGGAGTTCTTGGCAATCATGGCATATAATCAGGAATTCTTTCGATGAGGAAAAAATTGTCTATAAGTCATCCTCAAATACATAAAAATCTTGCAGTCATCAATGTATCTATGAACGAAAATGAAGTAATACAACTTGTTAATAAGCCAGGCATTTATTCATTTCAATTTCACAAACTTCTTTTTAAATTATGAAACCAGTGAAGACTTTTTTAGGTCTTTCTTATTTCTAGGTGTCTCCACCCAAGCCCTGGAGATAAAATGCCCTGGTTGCAAGGGCTTGACTAGGTCAGCAGAGCCCAGCTGATGACTGAATGGGGATGCTCGAGGTGTAATACCGGATTGGGGGACCCTGAAAGACCACCAGGAGCCCAATCCAATGATGCAAGCACACAGAGTCTTTATTGCAAGCTCAAGCCTGGACTCACAACTGTCTCCGACACAGAGGTTCCAAGGAGTGAGTCCTGGTCCTTTGTTCAGTGAGATTTTATAGGTTTTGGGGGATACTCTAAACATCACACAGCAAATCATTCCATACTGCGGGAAAATCAAACAACTCTTAACATTGATTAGCACATTCATTGGCGGGAACAAGTTGGGTAAGGGTGATTAGTTAGTTCAAGGGGTGGATAGGTTTGAACTGACTGGTTTGAGCCACGAGGGGTAGCAAGGGTGTTCGTACTAAACTACACAGTTTCCTGACATGTTATCAATCACCGAGACTACTTGAGGTGGGGGGTCCGCCTGGCATTCCAGGTATCTTCCCTGTCTCATGCTGATTGGTTATTGCTAGGGGTTGCTTGGGTTATCACGGTCAGGCCATAAGCCTCAAACATTCTTTGGTCTTTCTAGAAACTAGCATTGCTGAGTCAGGGACACCTGGCATCGCAGGCCTTTTCTGTTATTCACAAATAACTCAGCAGGGTAGCCAGGTGCCTAGGTGCTCTATGGGTTTTCCAAGAACAAGGGTCAACCGACCCCCCACCCCCACCCCCGCCCTTGGACAGGCCCTGCTCTAAGGTAGAGGCTGGTTTTTCCAAAATGGAATCACATCAGTTTCTCAAAGGTTACCATGGAAACACAGACAGCTGCCTTCTCCCCTTCACACATCTACACAAGAAGAACAGATATTTGCTTCCACTAAAGAGTTAATTCCATTTCTTAGTGGCCTCTTCTGGAAATTCCCTCTCCACTGATGATCTGGCAGAATCACTTGGAGCCAAAACAGCAGAAAAGGAGCTGGGTGACAAGGGGCACAGGAAGCCCTGCAGCCAGAGGGCATGAGCCTGGATAACTCCTGCCTCACCCATCTCTGTGCAGAGGGAGAGGCACAGTGTTCATCCTGCGCCAACCCAAGCACATTCTGAGGCCAGGCTGCAGTCAAAGACGACACTGAACAGTCCTCCTTTGCTTTTGAGGTTGCTATGACAGCCAGGAATTTGCAAACCAAACTGGACCTGGAAAAGAATTCTGTCCTTGGCCCCAAAAGTTTGTGGTTCCAAACTGTTTGCTGAGGGTTCCTGCTGTCTACTTTGATACCTGCCAGATGGAAGGATCTCGGAACCTGGAATCTGGAAACATCCCAGTGGAAAGGTTACTTGTAAGTTGTCTGAAACTGTATTAGATGGAATGTAGGTATGATACAAGGAACTTTTTGGCAGGAAAAGTTGAAAAATATTACCACTGGTCTCAGAGAAAACCTCCTTATCTTGAAAATATTTTATACCCATTTACTCTTCTGTGGTTTGCTAAGAACTTTCACATAAATTATCTAATTGGATCTTTATATCTGCCTGATGAAGTAGTCAGAGTAGATATGATATTCAGCCAATGACAAGGAAAATTAGGTTTTGTAATAACAAGATCCATAGCTAATGAGCAGCAGTACTGGGACTTGAACTGGGCTTTCTGACTCAAGGTCTTGCTTTTTTAAATTCCATTGTGATGATCAAAAACACAAAACAGACTACATCTGACATGGACAGTTTAGGAGCAGGGTTTTTATTTATAAGAATGTGATTTTAGGGGGTGGGGATGTAGCAGGGAATGAACTCAGGGGCACTCAATCACTGAGCCACATCCCCAGCCCTATTTTGTATTTTATTTAGAGACAGGATCTCTCTGAGTTGCTTAGCGCCTCACCATTGCTAAGGCTGACTTTGGCAATTCTCCTGCCTCAGCCTCCCGAGCTGCTATGATTATAGGTATATTATTGAAGAGGGATGATTTCTCCTCATTGTGGTAAAATACAACATAACAATCTACCAACCTTTTTTTTTTTTTTTTTTTGGAACTGGGGGTTGAACCCAGGGCTTTGGGAATGAAAGGCAGATACTTTGCCACTGAGCTACATCCCAACCCAATCTACCAACCATTTTAATTTATTTATTTATTTTAAATAACTTTTTTTTTTACGTGGTGCTAAGTATTGAATACAGTGCCTCACATATGCTAGGCAAGTGCTTTACCACTGAGCCACAACCCCAGCTACCAACCATTTTTAAAAGCATAGTTCAGTGGCATTAAGTAGGTTCACATGTGCAACCAACATTACCATCATCTTCACAACTTTCTCATCTTCCCAAACTGAAAATCTAGACCCATTCTGGAAGCTACCATTTTACTTTCCATTTTCTGAATTTGACCACTCTATGTATTTCATATAAGTGGAATCACGCAGTATTTGTCCTTTTAAAACTGGCTCATGTTCCTTAATAAATTTCATTCACGTTGTAACATGTGTCAGAATTTCTTTCCTTTTTAATACTGAATAATATTGCTTTGTATAGCTATACCACATTTTGTTTATCTATTAGTCTGTTGATGAACATTTGCTTCTACCTTTAGGCCACTGCTATGCTATTATAAAAATGGATGTGCAAACATATCTTTATGACCCTGTTATCAATTATTTTTTGGGAATTGCTGGATTGAATGGTAATTCCATTTTTATGTTTTTGAGGCACCATCATACTCTTTTTCATAGTACCATTTTATATTCTTACCAATAGTACACAAATGTCTCAATGTCATCAACACACCTGCTATTTTCTCTCTGTGTGTTTTTCTATTATTTTGCCATCCTAATGAAGGTATAGATGGATGAATTTTAAATACATGGTGGTCTAGGCTGGAATATTTGGAGAGATTAGAGAATGGTCCTAATAAAATTTGCTTAGCTTCCAGTTGACGTGCCAGCCCTAAGCCCAACAGAAATCTTCAAAAGGCATTGTACTAGTCACCAGGGAAAGCACTTAAAACTTGAGCAAATCCATGACTTGCTGTTAGGGATAATTAAAGTACAGATTATTTCCATAGGAGTTTCATGTCCTCCATATGAGCTGAGTTCATTATACAGATGCTTATTAGATAAAGATGCCTCCCTCCATAGCTAGAGAGCTATGTACACAGGAGATGGTAGGAATCTATGTAGGTGAAGATGAAGCTGGATAGTTGCTAGAAGGATGGCCAAGGGGATTGGAAGATGCTCTTCCCAAACAGCTCTAGAGTCTTAGAAGATACTTCCTATAGCTGGGTGCGGTGGCTCATGCCTGTAATCCTAACAATTTGACAGGCTGAAACAGGAGGATTTCAAGTACAAAGCCAGCCATCAGCAATGGCAAGGTGCTAAGCAACTCAGTGAGACCCTGTCTCTAAATAAAACACAAAATAGGTCTGGATATGTGGCTCAGTGGTGGAGTGCCCCTGAGTTCAATCCCCAGTACCCAAAAGAAGTTAATTCCTTTGTGTGAGCTTCCTTGTTTACTCTTTGTCTACCTTTGCACACTTCAGAGGGACTAGTTAGATTGGACTTTTTATATATTTTTTTGAATTGTAGATGGACATAATACCTTTATTTTTCATGTGGTGCTGAGGATTGAACCCAGTGCCTCACGTGTACTAGACAAGTGCGGTGCCACTGAGCCACAACCCCAACCCTAGATTGGATCTTTAAAGGACTTCAGAAGAAAATACTCTGTGAGTACCAAATTTAACTATATCTGATCATCTCCAGAGTCATAGTTGTGCCATAGTTGGATTCCCATAATGTGGCTTGGAACAATGGAGACGCTAAGGGCTGCTGAGTTTGGGACTGGAAACCATGTTTGAATCTCCCAACCTCAGGAAGTCCTCCCCACCTCAAAGACCCCTGTGCCCCAGAAAGCAGTTCCTGATGACCCACATGACAGCACTCCATACCACTTTCCAGAGAACTGCACTGTGCCTTTCTTAGACCCACGACTATGCTGTATCTTAGATTTCTAAAAGAATATTATATACCTCCCCACCTCCCATAAATTGGAAGCTCCATGGAGGCAAACTCCAGTTCTGGTTTGCACAAAGTAGAAAATAGAGTTTACCAAAAGCTCCCTAACAAAAATTTTTTTTTGTGCCTAACTCATTGTCTAGACCTGTGTCACATGACCCTCCTGGGGGACATGGGAGACTAAGAAAGTGGACATTTTTCTTTTTAGCCTCTTAGGTGGATATGGGCAAAAATGGGTGTTAGGAATGGGATTGGATGAGCGAGTGAGCTCTGTCTATCTGCTTTCTCTTTGTACAGGTCACATTCTCTGGGAGGAGACACAGTTGGGGGAGAGGCCCACCCTGAGTTCTGGGCCTGGGTTCAGTTTCCCCCCTGTGCCCTGCTGTGCCCTGCTGTGTCCATCATGGGTCCACACCAAGCACATTTAGACTCATCGACTCTCTACTGCAACTGTGCAAGATGGGGGACAGAAAAGAATGATTGATTTCAATTAGGTTTTGCCAATTCCTACAATTAATATTCCTAATTATGTTTATCTCATATTCATTAGGAATACAAAGAGCTGACAAGCACTGGCATTTGTATTTTCTTCAGATAAATAAATGAGGTACTCAGGTCCCTAATTTGTTCAAGCGGACTCAGTTGGTGATAGTGCCTGCAGGGCTTCCTGACCTCACATCCCATGTTCTATCCATACTCTCCGCTCTTACACTCTAGTTTCAGGATGTATTTTTCCTCACCTCCTGAGGGCAGTACTGTCAGGGAACACTTAAGGGCCACAAGACAATGATCTGAGTTTGTCACATGTCTGTGTGTGGTGGGTCACATGGCTCCTGAGCTTGGCTACCACGGACATCTGTCTTGTCAATGAGCAAGCAGCTGTGAACAGCTGCTGACAGCTGTATGTAGCCTCTCAGCCACAAACTACATGAGTTCCCCACAGGCAGGACAACAGTGGCACGTTTAGGCTTTGCATATTCTGTTTTGTCATCAGTTTTGTTCCATGGCTTCAGCTGGGCTTCATTCACTACTAGAAAAATGTCCCTGCTCTGGCTGGGGTGTAGCTCAGTGGCAGAGTGCTTGCCCCTCCCATGTGAGGCACTGGGCTTGATCCTCAGCACCACATAAAAATAAATAAACAAAATAAAGATATTGTGTCCATATATAACTTAAAAAAAAACAGAAAAGAAAAAAGTCCCAGCTCTTCCCTGGGCCCAACATACCTGTTTCTGCTACTAGTCACCATGGAGTTTCCTGTTTTCATTCCTGACCTTTTAGGAAGCGGCAGAACCATTCCACACTCTAGAAAGAGAAAAAGGCCCGTCGCTTGGCAGTCTGCTTTCATTGGCTCTGCCTTTAACTGGACAGTGACCCCTGAGATAGCCTGTCCCCTGGCTGGGTCTCTATCTACGAAGTAAGAAATAAAGACTAGAAGAAACTCTAAAGGCCCATCCAGCTCAATAGTGGAGACAGCAGCTGCACAGAGATGGGATGACTGCCAGCTTGCAGGCTGGAGCGCATCCTTTAGGCCTGAATGCATGAAAAATACATCAGCGCTGTGCCGACTGGGGACTGCAAGTTGTCCTTCCTCAGCCAGAAGATAGGACTATTTTTGTTTTCTGTTTTGGTCATTTCTGTTCTCTGCCAGGTGCTTACATGGTAAGAGGGAGACTCGATGTTGGATTCTTATAAAAGTCACCTGTCACTGGTCAGCTGCAGAGTGAAGCCAGGCATGGGTCTGGTAACTTCTCCTTTGGGGAGAAGTCACCCAGCAATCGCCACGGGTCAATGCGAGACACTGGGGAGAGCACTAAACTAGGAGTTGAACTAGTGTTCTAGAGCTTCCGTGCTACCAGCTAGCTGTGTGGCCCTGGGTGAACTTGCTGTCACTCGCTGAGCTGTGACATTTTCAGGAAAATAAGGAAGTTAGATCTGATGCCTCTAAAATTTAATCCTTAAGTTTCTTCCTGTCTGCTTGGCTCCCTTATGCCAACTTTTCTTGTGGGTAATTCTGAGTAGCAAAAACATTTTTTCTGCTCTTAATCTCAACTCAGAGATGGGGAAAGATACAAAGAGAAGAAAGATAGAATACTTTTTGCTCCTTTAATTGTGTGTTTTTCTTAGAAAGCCGCTAGACTTCACCAGGCCAGGCACAGTGACACATGCCTGTAATCTGTAATCCCAGTGGCTCAGGAGACTGAGGCAGGAGGATTACAAGTTCAAAGCCAGCCTCAGCAATTTAGCAAGTCTCCAAGCAACTCAGCAAGACCCTGTCTCTAAATAAAATATTTATTTATTTATTTTAAATTTTTTTATTATTATTTATTATTAGTTGTTCAAAACATTACAAAGCTCTTGATAAAATATTTTTTTAAATGTCTGGGGATGGGCTTAGGTTGTGGCTCAGTGGTAGAGCACTTGCCTAGCACATGTGAGGCACTGGATTCAATCCTCAGCACCATATAAAAATAAATAAATAAAATAAAGGCATTGTGTCCATGTACAACTAAAAAAAAATTAATATCTGGGGATGTGGCTTGGTGGTTAAGCACTCCTGGGTTCAATCCCCACTAGACTTCAGTGTTTTGATCTAAAATCAGGAAAGACTATCTTCTGCTTCTTGGAGAAGAGAAAGGACCCTCTGCAGATCCAGTTACAGCATATTCTGGGGTCATGACATACACTGCCCTTTTAGTTAAGGGGCAAGAGAGATGGAATTGCTGAACACCAATGTGCCCTACATGGACACCAAATGCCAGGAGTTTTCTTTACATAGTCTCCTGCAGGCTTCTCAATAACCATATAAGAAATCCTATAGATACAATCATGTGGGCTGAGAGGTTAAGAAACATGTCCAAGACAGGCAGTCAGGAAAGTAGCTAGAATTCAAAATTATCCTATCTTCCTGCAAAGCCTGAACTGCCTTCCTGAGGTTGTTAGTCTATAAGAATTAAAAGTATGATGTGGGGTGGGGGTGAGGAGACCAGATCAGCTGATCTCAGGGGGAAAGGTAGAATGTAGAGCAGAGTCCTTCTGTAAATCCTGAGGTTCCTCAGCTATAGGAACCTCTGTGTTCATGTTGGCTTTTGAGTTTCCTGTGACCACCTCTAAAGCCCATTGGAGGGAGGCACAGACCTCTGCATTCTGAGTGCTTTATTTAGGCAGATGGGGCAAAGATCTTTTCTTAACCAATAAATATCCTACAAGAGACTAGCGTCCAAAGTCACTGACTCCACTGCTGACCACAAAGGTCAGAGATGGGGACTGTCCCCCATGTGATGTTTATAGAATAGGGCCTGGTCACTCTCAACTGCTATCTCTATCATCATAAGGAGAACACTCAATCCTTACCCTGTGTTAGCACACTGGCCCTCAGACATAGCCTCCATAAAACTTGTCCAGGCAAGACCCTGAAAGCCAGCTGGGGCCTCTTACTATCTAACCATAAAAAGAAATAACACATTGGAAAGCCAAGTTGAGAAGTATCCTTGCAGGACAGGAAAGAATATATAAAGATAACCTTGTTTTAATAGGAAAAGGAAATGAGACAGAAAATTGGCTTTTCTTACTACAGGGAATGGAATCCTATGAACTTCACTTTAGTTTTAGTTGGAACAAATATTTACCAAGTCTCAGATGTGTTAGACACTGCAGCAGGCGCCTTCCTCATAAATTCATTTCTTCTTCCTAACAGTGTTAGGCAAAGAGGAAAGGAAGACTTGGTGAAGCCAGGAGATCTATTCATAGACACAAAGAGCCTCAACTTTCTCCCTTCTAGCCCAGAATGTTTTCCATCATCAACAGCTGCCTCTTTGTAAACGTATGAGCTTGTAACTTAATCTGTGAGAATGGAACATAGGTGAATACCTCAAAGTGGTTAAAAGATGTGGTCCACAGTTCCCAGGCACCCTGTGAGAAGGGATAATAGCAGAAATGTCCATCTTCCTACTGTGCTCCCTTACTCTCCGTTGATAAGACCCTTCCCAGGCAGTCTTCCTTGACTTCTTCTACAGTAGGCCCTGCTTTGATCCCTGTAGCTCTCTGAACTTTTCCCCTCCATATTTGACTGCTGGTTTGTGTCCATCTTCCTTGACTCAACATTAGCTTGAGAGAGGAAAGATCAATTTTTCTTTGACCACCATTAATTTTCCAGTGCTTGACAACAGAAAATAGTAGATACCTAATGAAGATGTGCTGGATTTTTGTTTTGTATAGTGTTGTTTCTACAGCACTGGGGATTGAACCCAGGGCATCACATATTCTAGGCAAGCTTTACACCACTAAGCTATATCTGCAGCCCATTTATTTATTTATTTATTTATGAATGACCAGGTCTCCCTAAATTGTCCAGGCTTGCCTTGAATCTGCAATTTTCCTTCTTCAGCCTTCCAAGTGGCTGAGATTACAGGCATGTGCCCAGCTGTTTTTGTTTTGTTTTCATGCTAGGGATTCAACCCAGGGCATCACACATGCTAGGCATGCTCTCTATCATTGAGCTACAGATCCAGCCCTGAATTACTGACTGAAAGAAAGATGAATGGGTAGATGGATGGATGCATGAGGTTTATCATTCCCTCAAAGTTACCATCTCTCAGTAATTGAGTAATTTATCTTTCTGGTTGTGACAAGTTAACTTACCCAGCTTCCCTACTTTGTCAGCAGTCACTCAAAAGACAGTGAGTCATAGAGGTTTGCATCTTCTTACTTTATATCCCACCTTAATCATTTACTAACCATAGAATGGGATGTAATTTATTTAATTCTATGAACCTAATTTTCCTCATTGTAATATGATATTGTGAGGCTTACTTGCAGGAAGTAATCAAATGGCTGCTATTTCTTAGTGTACAATATATTAGCTCTCTTACACTCATCTTGGGTGCCTCTTTTCTTGGCCATTCCCTGTCCTACCCACAATCATTGTTAAATTCTTAACCCTGTCCAATCTTTCTTCCCAAAGATTTCTAGTTTTGTTTTGTTACCCTTCTGTCATCTGCCCTTCAAATGCAACAGATTCTAACCAGTCCCTCTGCTTCAGGTTTCCCTTCCAATGCATCATGCCGTCCCCCATTCTGGTGGCTCTAGAATCCCCACAGAGGAGATATTTAGGGTAGCACTCTTTGGTACTCCATAAGGGAGAAGACTTGAAACTGCATATGCAGATTGTTACAGGGCAGAGACCTGCCATAAAACTGAGGCAGCAATTGTGCCAGGAAGATTTCCCAACATCTCTGTCAGAGCAACAGGAATGAGTTTATTAGAAAGGATAGGAAAAGGGAAAAGATGACACTTCCAAGGGAGAGAGACCGAGCATTCCTTCTAGTTTTATTGAGGGGATCCCAGGGAAGTTTTTAGAGAGTCCTGCCCAGATACAACTTTTGACTTTTGACGGACAGCATAGGAACTACACGGTCCACTTCCAAGAAAGCATGGTATATTGCTCTTAGAGTTGGAGTTTTTAAGAAAATTGAGTCCTCCCCATTTTTGCCTTAATTTCTTGCCCCCTTACTCAGTTTATTACTCTTGGAATAGCCCGCATCAAGCTTTTTTGTGAGGGTCTTGGTGTTTTGGTTGCCAGGGTCATTGGGAGTTGTGATGGTTTGGTGACAAGGGAGGATTGAAG